ACAGTTGAACTTGGGGCGTGCAGTTCAGCTTAGCTTTGTACGGTCACCACAACTGCCTCGGCTTGATTTATAGGCCTCTGTATTTACATGTTAGGAATTTTTCATCCTAAAAATTCATGGAGTCATTTGGTTACGTTGTCTTTAGTTTGATTCAAGTGAAGACAATGATTGCTTCATACATTTAATGCATAAAGCATTAAATATGAACAATAAAACAATGAAAGGATTATGGCATTTATCAAATAATCATATAATGTTTTTATTTTTACTGAATGAATAATTGTTTATCGTGAACTTGTGAACCCACTGCTAGAATCAAGAATTGTTTTACTGCCCACAAGGGAAATACATGGCGAAAAAGCTAGTGTATTGTTAAATTAAATTCAATATATTTCTACATTTAGTTTGACCAGTAGTAAAACAAAATAATGGGTAACATATGAAATATATACTAATCAAAGTATATTTTCAATATGCAATTCCACCAAATGCATCTCTTAAACAATTCTACCACAAAAACATTGACTCAATAACAATCGGTTGGTGTAATTTCATATTATACACAACAAAGTATACACTTATGTTTTCAAATGTTTAGAATAATTTTTGTATTTTTTTTTGTGTAATAAGTATCAGTTTGCAAGCTTATTATTATTGTGTATACAGTATTTGTAACTGTTTTTTTGTTTATGTCTGTTGCATTATATTTAAATGTCAAGATATAATTCCTTAGCATCCCAAGGGATAACATACATAGTATTTAGTTTTTTGAATGTTAACACAGATATCAGCATCCTACTGAAGAGGATTTCATAAGGACTTAGAAAAATAGATTTACAATAAAACAAATATTATTAAACTTAGTTTGGATTATGAAATCTCTATGATTATTTTTTTGTTAATTATACATAAACAGTGGCGGATTCAAGGGGGCCCATCCGGCCTGGGCCCCCTAAATTGTTCAAAATTTTTTGAATATGGAGCTATATAAACAAAATTGTATTCAAATTTTAAGTCTGAGTGCAATTTCCGATGGCCATCTAGAGGTGCCAAGATCACAAATTGTGGGGCTGAGGTGGTATAGATCCTTCTTCTGTGAAAGTACCTCCCAAGGCCCCCTCTATTTTGAATTCTTGGATCTGCCACTGTTAAAAATGTTATTATTGAAAATTTGGAAAAAATGATGATGGATGGTACTAAATAAGAGAAAAAATATTCATAAATTGTCAATAAGTTTAATAAAATCTGATTATTTAGACCATAATTTGGGCAGTCATCAATAATATATTTATGGTTAACAGTGTGTGCATTATACCATCCTATGGCACATTTCTCACAATATTACTTTAGTTGCAGGATTAAACACCTAAGAAACACTTCAGGAACACATACTCAGCTCACCAGGGCATACTGTACAGTATGTTACATACTCAAATCCCTAGGGCATATTATGTTACATACTCAAATCCCTAGGGCATATTATGTTACATACTCAATTCCATAGGGCATTTTATGTTACATAATTGTAGTAATTAGTGTATTGACATTAAATTTAGTATTAAATGAAAAACATGGATAAGGAACTTGCTCAGCGAATGAACCTTTCTGCTTAGCCCTGCCCCATGGATATTTTTGCTAATCTCACGCTGAAAAGAGCGTAAACATACGTACTGTAGGCCTACACACATGCGCTTGTCAGACAACATGTGTGATTGTGAGTTGTCAACCTAGGCTCCGACTTGAACTCAAACATTTAGATTGGAAGCGCAAAGCTTTACCATAGCGCCACACTCTTATAAATGTAGAGTAGTACTAGTACGTCACTGACATTGCAATACCATGTGACCCCTCCTTTTGTTACTGAGCAACGCTACCAAACCTGTGTCACATGATATTTTATATGTACTGTACGTTTTTTGAAAAAAACCATAATTTTTTCCTTTAGGATTCAAACCAAACACCCTTCAATTAACATTCAGGTGCTCAACCAACTGAACTGGAAGCCAAGCTCTTCTCAACTATTGCATAATATGTGATGAATACAGTAGCTTAAATCACATGTTACTAAAAGTTAAACATGGAATGGAGAAAACCCCTTTATCAGGGATACTGTATATTGATCGAGTTCCTAGTCCACATATCAAGCGCCCTGAGCATCTTACATTAGATGGATATGTGCGCTATATAAAACTACACTATTATTATTATTAAAAGCATTGATTACTACAACCAAATAGTAGATCAGGACTAAAAAATTAAGGTGTGATGGTTAACACAGGGTGGGGTATGGAGGCTTCATTTAATTTTCAGATTGTTCTATTATAGGAAATTAAAATTCCCTTAATGGCCATGTCATTGATCGTTACTGAGAAAGGGAAAGAATAGTTACCCTTGACCCCCGAGGTCATCTGAGAACAGGAAGCTATACTGACGTATTTGTCATTTATCAAAATTCTATTGATTAGCATGTTCACTGTTCCCCTCCAGAGAATCTTATCAGTGGCCGACAAAATTGGGGATGATCTGATTCAAGATACGTGGTCGCCACTTTCACGAGGGATGTGCACCCTCAACTAAAGCCTTTGGTAAATCATAATTATAATTTCCTCCGAAATGAAATTATTACTTCCTTCTTTATAACAAAAAACAACGCACTGGAATGTATGCATTTATTGATGAGTCTTGTTTGAGAAAATGGCATATGAACTTATATATTTTTTCCCTAATACACCCACACTAAATTTCATGTAGGCCTACAGAGTGTTTGTAATTTTCAATATTGTTATTACTTGTCTGGGACTGTGCCTTATAGTTAATATAACAACATGAGATACAGTATTGTTTGTCAGGGTATGTATTAGGACGTCCAGTGCTAGGTATGTCTTTGCGTATGGTATCCTATCCTATCACCAGTATGACCTGCCGTATGCCCTAATAGTTGTCAAGTAAATGAAGCAATTTAATTGTCATTTTTCCACAATAGTTTAAACAAACATTAGTCTTCATGTGGGTAGGGATACTTTTGATGTTTACCACAACATGTGTTTATTGCATACATTTGTGGCACACATACCTTAGTGGTGTATTTTGGACACATGGTATTAAAAGCCAATACCGGGGAAATTATTTAAGCCAACTATTTTTTATTTGTGACACTGTAATAATGTCACATTAACTTCCATCAAATAATGTCATCTACCTATTGATTGTGTTGCTTTATGTATCGTCCTTGATCACAGACCTCGGCCATTACATTTATTAGTCTATTCTTCTATTTACCTAATTTTACTCATCAATAGTTTTGGTATATATCACTATTACTTGACACGTTCGTATCATTTATTGATGACGCTGGATTTTTTTTTTTTTATGTGTGATATTATAACACTTTCAAGGATGAATTGCATGCCATGAGACTTCTGTTTATACCAAGCAAGAAAAATCCTGACCTTCGAAAAAATGATTCAATACTGTTTTAGAATAAGGCAATCAAAGCATAATATATTCAAAATATTGAAACAGGTTTCAGCATTGTCATTTTATAATGCAAAAGTGATGTGATATTTCTTGATAAGTTTGGGTTCTATTTTTAAGTAATGCGAGGATTAAGTTGTAGGTTTGTAATCGTCTGAAATGTCCATAAACTCTTCTGGGATTTTAGCAGTACTTAGAACCAACACTTACATCTGTAATTGACCCCTCGTAATGGTAATAAAACCTCTGGGTACATTACGCACATTTATCACAGTAACACGACCACATAACATGTTCTGTACATGTAACTGCTTAAGGTGTGTGGGCATAGACGATGAGCATGGACAAAACACATTTTCATCTTATTGTATAGTTTTTAACTTTCGAGTTTAAATTATTTGATGCTAATTTTTTTTAAATATGTATTGGTTTTGAAGATCTTGTATCATGTCTTTCATAATTTTGTTTTTTGAGTTTAAACCATTTCGAGAAATAGGGTAACGGCACTAGTAAATGGTGCCATGTCACTTCGCGTGTTTCCACAATAAGGAGTTTTGAGTTTTTTTCAAAGTCACACTGGAGAAGAGTGTCACTTTGGACAAAGGTGTCCCACTATACTAGGTGTCAAAGTAAGCAAATGTGTCTTGCTTGTGAATGATGTACCTTTAAATTTCAGTATCTGTCTCATAACCATTAATTTCATTTGTGCATGTTAAAAGTTCATTCAATATACTTTTTTGTAAATGAGGCTAGAAGCTGCCTTGCGGACAGTCGTAGGATAAATAGCAAAATGTGTACGTATGTTTAGGATTAATTGTTAAAGCCAACAAAATTGTGACATCAAAAAAGCCACTTACTGTAAAGCGACCCTTGCCCGCCTCATTCAAGCACAACATAGCACGGTTTTTTTTTCTACCAATATATTACTTATAAAGTGTACTGCATAATAACAAAGTACTGTATGTGCTTACACTACTCCTGGTCATTGGCAACCCCTCCACACCCTGGGGACTATTCCCAGACATGTAAGTAATTTGGCACAGACCGATTACATACCAAATCGTTCTCCCTCCTACCAGGTACCCATTCTTAGTGGAATGAGACAAACATAAATATTATAAAAGTTTCTTGCCAAATGACACTTAAGCAACAATGTAAACAGTATCAGAATCAAACTATAACAACCACGCTGTTTAAAACAAATTTTTTTTTTAATGTCTAGCATTCATAAAAATACGACCTCATATATTCACAGTCTGGTTTGCTAATTTGCCAACCAAATTTACCCACAATACAATCATGGTGGATGTAGATATTTACGATTTAGAGAAGGGATCGTAGTTAAGTGTTTGATGGAAAATCAAAGAATATATTTGAATACAGTGTTTAGTAATGAGCAGAATTCGAGTGATAAATCTTTGTAGTTGTCTGTGTCCTTGACATTAAACCCATGTTTTCCAATTATAGCCATGCTCCCTGAAGCAGCCTCAGTCTTGTCTTATTGTAATTTTCTTCTTGTCTTGTAGGATTTGAATGTGTCGTGAAAGAGCTTTATGGGGTGGAGTCTGTGAAGAGGATAACACCATTCAACGGTAGGTGTGAACACGGCTCAAATGTAATGACAATTCACACGCTGGTGACGTGGTGTATTGGTGACAATCGTTGACGATGTAACAATTACCATGGTTATTTATGTCATTTTGAATTCATTCAAATTATTTTTGTCAAGGCCATTTAGTTAATACATGTAATACTTTTTTGGTGATTTATGATTATGGTGATATTGATGATTATGATTATTGTGATTGTGATTGTGATAGTGATGATGATATAACAGTGATGAGGATGTCATGGATCCAGAAATGAAACTGAATATGGTAGAATATTTTTCACAAATATATTAATTTTCCTTAAATTAAATATTAATTATCATCTTTAGTTGTCACCAGTGGAGGTGTTTCTTTCTACCAAAGTTGCTATCATCAAATTAATGGTCCTTTTCAAATGGTGAGATCATGTGAAAAGAATTACAGATCTAATTAAAAAATAAGACTAGAGATTTTCCAGTGATGGAACATTGAATGTGGTTTGACATGTTAAGGAATTTTACTGGAAAGTTGGTAATAATTATTTCAGAATAATATAATATATAATAATTATTGTATTATTAATTTATTGAAGCCCTTGATTGCTCACCCAATAATTAGCTATCAGTTACCACTGGTCAAGTAAATGTGCAAGGCACAAAATTGTTGATACCAAGCAGGTGCTACTAGTTGAAAAAAAGAAATATCCTCAGTTTCACACAACTTAAGATGTAGTGATGGCCGGTTGCTGTATGTAGTGTTTTCAGCAATTACGTCCACACTTTACAAATGGACCCATTATGGTCTTTGAATACAAGCACAAGCTCAGGTTAAACGGTCAAATTGCGACATTTAGAAAGAAACTTGCGCACGACCGATAAATCAATTGAATTTGAAATTCGTCAAAGCTGTGACAGATCAACATAAACCACTACACTTCACATTTATGTTCACTAGTTTAACATCTCTCCAAATGTAATAAAAACAGATTATATAGCTAAATTTCACGATATAAAAACGTGTTTACAAATTGTAACCTAGGTGCCTGTGAGTTTTATTCTGTTCACCTTATAAAAAATTATTGAATTAATTTTACGCCCGATTTGATATCCTTGAAAATGTTCAGAACAATTAATATTGCGACACTTTGTAGGTTTAGTAGATTACCCTTAGCCATGAATTTTGTTGTGCTTGTGGCGATTGACCTTTGATTGCCTACTAATTAACATACAGGGTCAGGAGGTAGGGAGTTTCCAGAGGCAGGTGACAGAGCAGTTGCTGGTACTGGATTCTAATAAAAGTTGCCTTTTAAAAATTTATGACTAGCCTTTTGTTAACCATAGATCATCATCTGAATGCTGCATTAAGAGTCATTCATTATGCAGCGTTGGTGTTATGTTATTGTAGCATTCACTTTCAATACCGTACTACTATTATTCATTTGTCTATTAATTTATTATATCTTTTAGCTCCTGGGACCCCTCCCATCTCCTGTTGAAAGTATAGTAACATATTACTATATTTTTCAGTTAAATCCTTTTGAAAATCTATCATTTTTCGATACCTTTGGTCCTGTTTTTCAGAAAATTTTTTGATTCTCCACTGTTTAAAGACAATTGCGCTTGGGAAGAAAATCTAGGGTGCCATATTTGACCTTGTAGATGAGTAAAGCCACTTGGAAAGAATTCATGTATGTAATGTAGGTTGGTGTGGTTTGGCAGTTAAGGTGCACAACTTATAATTGGGTTTAAGTCATCGGCTATGGCAGGATTCTTTTATCTGGTCAAACTAAATAACTTTATATTTGTCTCCCTTTACTAAGGAGTATAAACAGTGCATCGGTATGCTAGAATCGTAAACATATATGATGTGTAGGAGGAGTGCCAGATCCCCCCCCCCCCCACCACATCATTGGAAAATCTGGCCCAAATGACAAGGAAAGAGAGATGCACTCTGGCATCCAATTTCAGAGCTCTGGTTCCAAATTCACTAATTTTTAAATATCTATTACCAACATTTAAATTTTTGTACCAGCTTGCTGTTAGGGTTATAGTGGGTTCTTTTGAATATATTTTCAGCAAAATAAATGAAATGAAAATGAATTTATTTTGATGATCGTAAATTTTCTGTTATAAATTTGTTTATAAAGATGAAGCAAGGCATGAGGCAGAGGATTGGGACCCATCAGTTGCCGAGATCTGCCAGCTATGCATGGCAAGGAAACAGCTTGTCAAGGTATGATTATCAAATTTTCTTAGACAAAAAAACTATTGTATGCCCATATATTCATGATGTGTCTACTGTATACCGTAAAACCTTGAATTGAAGCCCAGTGGGCTTAATCTTAAAAAGGAGCTCATCTCGAATTGAAGCTTATCTCTTTAGTTTGCAAAATTAGCTTCAAAAAGAAGTCCATGGGCTTCTTTTCAAGTTAGCTTAGGCTTCTTTTGCGGATAGTACAGTATCCAAAGTTCGCAAAAAAAAAAAGCCCTGGGCTTCAATTTGAGGTTTTACAGTATATGAACATGATGTGTTGTCATTATGAAAATATTTAGACATGTTGCATGTTTGTGTTTTTGAGACGGTTGTCCTTCAAAAATCTAATGCTTTTGGGATTTTCTCCCTTCTCAATGTGACATCCAAACCAGTTTATTTCCTCACTGCCCCATTGTGACCATCTCATCCAAACAATAGTTCTCTGTTTCCAACCTCCATATGTTCATACCCACTTCCCTGTATGTTTGAGCCTTCTTTTAGTGATATTAATACAGAACAAAGGGCCTTTCACTATGGATGCCAAAGAATAGGGCAGGAACTTGATAATGAATTGGGCTTGAATTATCAGGCTGTCCATTGAAATGCTGCTTAGGTAAAGACTATAGTGGCCTGGAGTACCCTTCAGCTCTCAGCAACCATTCTCCAGGTTCTGAAACTCTCCTCAAGACTAATTTCATCATTTTAACTGGTACAAATCAATTCCTCACATGTCTTAGCTGGGATGATAAAGACATTGATATACTGTATGGTTGGATTACAGTGCAATTTACATTTAAAAACATTGTGTTCAATAAAACTATTTGTCATTGTTCATTTTGGCTACCATTTTTTTTTATATAGTAACAATAAAACAATTTTTCATTTTTGGAACTACAGTTTTTTTTTTCGTTATTCATACAAATCTCCCTCCAATGAAAGACCACTTTTGTGACCAGGATTTCCATGGTCTTTAGTAGCTTTGGTCTCTCATTAGAATAATAAAGATAAAAGATGTTTGTTTATTTGGTACCACAGAAAAGTAGTCTTTAATTGGAGGTAGTGTCTAATTGGAGGGGTCTTTATTTAGAGGAAGTCCTTTACTAATTTCTTCTCAAAAACTGTTGTAGTACAGTATAGTACACATGGATAATTAAGTATTATCTGTCTGTACAGTATAGTACACATGGATAATGAACTCAATTGAGCTCCGATCTTAATAGCTTTTTTCTCTTTCATTCCTTTCTAGGAATCAATTGCAAGACATGAGCGATATATTGATGAGTACACTGGTAATTTCGAGACCATAGGTAAAAACAAATATTAAGGAATTTAATTACAGATACTAATTATAAACAGGTTCTTGGGTATGTACTATAAGTATCCTTTGCTAATATAAATGCATTTATATTACATTGAAACTTCCGCTAGCAACATAAAACCAATGAATAAAAAAATGCCTTAATCAATGACTATGTAAATCATCACATTTTTAATGACTACTAATTCAAAAATTATTCATTACTTGGCTGGTTCACCTCCAGCTGTTAACCTTTGAACTTTATGTTGACACTGATGAAAAGGGTGTGTTTATTTGCTACACATACCTAGTCTAGTGTTTATGTTAAGTCGTTACTACTATGTATGTGTGTAATGGTAAATCTCCATATTATATATATAGTCTAAGGTCGATGTAGTTCCATGGCGTTAACTTATCTGGGGTCTGCAGGTAGTGTTAATAACTCCACGGAGGTGGCGTTGTGAGTGGCGTAAGTAACGCCACTGCTTAGTTCACACACAAAGGCGTACGCTACGCCAGACTTACGCCAACCTTACGCTGTGTATGTGAACATACCCTAAGGCTTTATTTACAATAGCCTAAATGGTCTAATTAATATACAATAGCCTAAAGGGTCTAATTTATTTCCATAATAGTAGTACCCCCAGTATCGACGTGACGAATAGTCCAGGTATTGGGTAAGGCTATTACACTGGACAAATGCTACATTTTTATAGCTGCCCTTGTGATATACTAGTTTAAATATGCCTCTATACATGGAACATTAGTTTAATAAAATATTCATGACTTGATAAAAAACATTAATTGATAAATTTTATTGGTTAATGAAATTAATTAAAAGGCACACAAAAATTCTTTTTCTTGTTATGTAAAAGTTTTAACACCGTGACTAGTAAGGTTATTTTTAGAGCAAAAAACAATTTCTGATTTTATTCAAATTACCTACTCTGTATTAATGTTTATTATGTTTAATAAAATATGCTGAATTTTTGCTTTCACTCTCATGACATTTTATATTCCAGAAGCTATTCTTTGTTTCTTGGAATGCTATGGTATTGCTAAAAATTTGTGAAATAAAATATCTAAATAGTATTAAAGTTGATGTTTTATATAGGTTACATAGTAAATTCAAATAACTACTGTTGTTAGTAAATTGTCAGGAAATGATATTCAGTTTACTGGTAATAAATTATGAATGGTTTATTGGCATTCTGTTGCAGCTGATGTGAGTGACGGTCAACCCCTGGACCTAAGCCGGGCAGGTGTAGTGGAAGATGAAAGAAACACAGAGAGTCCAGTGGCACTAGCGACACCACGTAAGAACCAATCGTCACTCAAGGTGCCTTTCATCAAAGTGAAGTACGTTAACTATTAATACATACAATAAATGCTAATACGTGAATGCGTGCTGGCATATAAATTACATATACGTGATTCGTTCATGTTTTTTTTCTGAATATAAACATTTAAGTATATCTATATTATAATAAGATAAATTCTAAACCATATTCCAGTGATGCTATTTGTATACAGTTTCCAAATAAAGAGGAATTGACAAAACTTGGCCCAATCAAAATTTAAATCAGGATTAGAAAATATACAATATGATGTGTACTGTACATGTAAAATAACTCCAGACTAGATTCCTGGCGTCCTTCGGAGTCCTACTTATTATAATAGCTCATTAACCTTGTTCGTATCCATCATCATAGATGTAATTAGAGCCCAATCAAGTTCAAAATTTTAACAGGCTTCTCCCAGTTAATTTTTTTGATACTATAATATAAACATTTGTACTATTGTATATTTCGACCAAAATTGCTACGCATAAAATTTGAATAGACTAGCAAGTGGTGTTGGTTTGCTGTTCAATGATGTTCTTGTGATGATGGTCTTGTCCTACCCATGCAATAAACTTTTGTAATGCGATATATCCAATTTGGAGTGTATAAAATTCATCTTATTGCATATCCTAACATTTCTGCTTGGATGGTACATTCTAATTGGACATATATATATATATATACCTTCTGGGTACTAGTCTTGGGAATACCTTGTTTGAAGTTCCATTAAATTTTGTGTACCTATCGAGAGTCAGTCCAAGCAATTCACTCCAAAATCGGAAATGGCCACTTTACTCTCAGATAAATCACATGAATGCATATTCCTGGCGGTGTCTCAAGTGACTCGTTTTGTGTGTAGCAATTGCTTGGAATCTCAGCGGTACATTCTGTAAACCTTTAATTTGCACCCGCTAATGTTGCCTCAGATAGTGACAGCAATGCACAGACTTACATACACTCTGTCTCAACCCTTATAGCTATACCAATGTGAAATATTCTGTACAAATTGATCAAATTTTTTGAATGAATAAATTACATAAAGTAATAGTTCATCTGCTAGAACTGAGAAAAAAAAAAAACTTTAGGCAGGTTGTCTTAGCATAGTGCGATGGTAATAAAATAAGGACTGTGCGCATTTCTAATCTGATCACTAGAAATGTTTTATTCTCCCACAGGAACAAAAACAAACTTGGACGTCTTGGAAAGACAGGTACATATTCTAATTATACACAAGCTGATCTCAAACTTGCCTTAGCGGATGTTCGTAGTGGGAAAATCGGAACAAGACGTGCATCAGTGCTCTATGGTATCCCACGATCCACCATTCGCAACCACCTTAATCGCAATTCGTTCCTAAATGAGGATGATAATCAAGGGGTACAGAACAATCGCTATAAGAGAGGTGCACCCAAGGTAGAAACGACCATTAAAGAGAAGGAAATAGATAAGCCTAAAATCACACTACCACAAGACTCAAATTCATATGGCAGCGTGTGCTTTGCCAAGGATGGTGAAGATGTCATTTCCCGGCTCAGGAAGCACCTGGAAGAGGTAGAAAAGTGTAAGACACGAATTGACGGTAAGCAAACCGTTGGCCGTCTCCTTTTGCAGGAGATGCTTTCAGGTCAGGCTAATAAAGCAAGAGATCAAGATGATAAGCTTAAGATTAGCCACAAGTCCAGCCTACCGAAAAGTGTCTTTGAGTACCTCATTGAAAAACATCTGGAAAATGTTAATGAAGAGATTGATGCGGGTGAGAATCGTGAGAACATCCAAACACAGAAGATAAAGTCTGGCCAGGTGGATCCTAAATTGAAAGTGCCTGATTTTAAACCGGTCAATAGTGGACCGGATAAAGATAAACCGTTCGTTATCGAAGAAACACGAAATACTGCTGCTGTTATAAATGAATGGTTCAAACGGTCTGCTTCACCGTTAATAGACATGACATCCCAAGAACATGACTCTTACACAAATTCCACAACTGGTAGATCAGTGTCGTCTGACGAGTATAATAGCAGCCAAAGTAAACGACCGAAACGAGGCCGATATCGCTGTTATGATCGAGAGAGTCTTATGCAAGCCGTAAATGCTGTGCAGCGTGGAGAGATGACCGTGACAAGAGCTGGCAATGTTTTTGGTGTCCCACATTCCACGTTGGAGTACAAAGTCAAAGAGCGCCATTTAAAACGCACTTCAAAACGATCGTCAGAAGATAAAGCGCAAACTAGTAGTGCTCACTCCGATCACTCTGACAACCAAAGTTCACAAGAACCTGAAATTTTCAAACCGCAAAGGTTAGCCCCAGCAGCGATGATGTACCCAATCGGTAGCACCATCATGCCATCATACGATAGCTTTGCAAGTCGCTTACGTGCAATCAGCGAACGCCAACTGTGGCATAGTATGTTTCCATATTCAATTGATCCCGAAGCTCTGCGACATTTATCAGAATCAGCAAGTCACTACTACAGGTCACATCCGCTTTACTCTGGACAGTATCTAGACGAAGATTATTACCTCCTAAACAACAGGCAGTCAACATCACTCGCTTTACACCCGTCACCAAGAGAATCAGTACTTGGTGATCAGGCGTACAAAGCTGACTCTGAAACTGAGCATGTCGTGCCCAACACCTACGAGAACTCTACCGTGAAGCAGGAAGTGAAACGAGAGAAGAGTTCCAATATTAATAACATCATAGAGAAGCTTTTAGAAGCTCAGATTTACCAACAGGTGAAAAACATACGAGATCCATCTTCATCGTCCACACCAGATAAACAAGAGACATTGGAGGAACCCGCCGAAGAGGAACCAGTCATCAACGATCTTTCAAATTCCACACGGAAACGACCAACTGAAGAAGAGGAAAACGAGGAATCAATACCCACCAAGAAAAGTTGCCATGATGATGCAGAAAAATCTCAAAAAATCACCGAGAAAGTAGGTGCAATACCAGTTTGATTTTCCAGAAATCAAGTGTTTAAAATGTGTTTAAAAATTGTGAACCATGAAATAGAATGTTTGATTTATTAATTTAATTTATTAATCGATCATTTTTTAATTGGAACGGTAGTTGTTGGTATTAAAACTACAAAGGAGAGTTTTTATTAGTACATCATTAGACCGTGTCTTTCAGTGATTTGTGTTCAATTTAAGTTAGTTCATTGTTTTAGACCCGTAGATAAAATTCAAAATCATGGAAATATGCCATTAAATATAACTTGTAAATGTTTGCTGCCTAAATAAATTGAATATATGAAAAAAAAACACAAATATGTTACAGAGTAACAGCCTTAATTAAATTATACTGGTAAGTTCTGTCACCAGTTTTTGCATAATTGGAAAAGTCAAGATATTCTGGTTTGTTACATCAAACCTCTGAAATATCATTTACAGATATATAGTTTATTCCAGGTTTTTTATCTAAATGATTTTGTTGTATTTGTATTTGTTCAGATATAAATTTTCCAATAAGAAGTAATTAAATGATGCTTTTGAAATTCCTTTGTTTAATACGAAATAACAGATTTTTTGTAACCGATTTCTATTAGCAAGTGATGTGTTGTACAGAATCGATAATGTTGAAGCATTCTTGATTCATCTCAATTATGGTGCTAAATTGAATGGAAGTTCCCATCACTTACAAATATATCATCATGGTAACAACTTTCATGATTTTGATGTTCGATGTCAGTTTTTTGTAGTCTTTTGTATGGTCTAAAAAACTTCAGCTTTTTTATATCTGATAGGCACTTCGATGCTGAAGACGTAGATGGTATGAAATACCTTCTTTGCAGCAGTTAAAGTGATAATTAAGTCATACATCATGTGCTATTGTGAGCATTTGTAGGTAACAAAACAGGGTAAAACACTCCCTTTTTAGAATGGAATAGCCTTACTATGGTGAGCATGTATTGTATATAGTGATTAACATTCTAATAAAACACCCATTTTCAGAATGGAATATTTTCTAACCTCTGACCTTGGTAAGGGCACAGTTGGATTCGTCTTTGACATCCTTGGCCATATCTGATATAATTGCATAATAATAATCGTTATCAACAACCAAATTGCAACAAAGTAGTACGTATATTTTCACAATTTAACTAATTAAATAGCTCAGATGTGCATAAAAGTACAATCTTTTGACCTTGATTTTCTTGTACTGCAGTAGGATCGTGTCGTCCTCACTTCCTTACACGTGTGAGGTTGCCATGTTGATATTACACGCAACAAAAGTATCTGCTTATAGTTTCATGAAAACCAAGAGCTGGAAAATGTGTGTTAACAAGTGATTTCATTTGTGAACTAACTGTGAATTGTATAATAGCAGAGATTAAAACTGTGTTGTACGCAGATACAGTCAATTTGTTTTTATTTATTGACAGTTGCATGAAAATTGAAGAGAAATATTTGTATAACTTGTGATTTTTGTAGGTTATTATAAATGAGATAAACTATGTTATTATTTCTGTTAAAAGAACATAAAATGTATATAATTTTGTTCGGTTAACAATTTTGCCTTGGTGCAATAGAGGGCAGTGTTTGGATCATGAACAATAGACGTGCATGTAAAAAAAGAGAAAAAAAACTTATCTTTCATGATTTCAAATAGCTGGCCTGTTGTTTTAGGTTTGCTATGTTCACAGGATCGTTGCATACGGGGAGCAACAGCTTATAGCAATTAATAGAGAAGTGTAAAAAAAGACGAAGTCTTTACAGCCTGTTTCATATACTAAACATGTCATAGTCACATAAAATTCAAGAACTGGGTTGTTAGGCTACATGAGGACCTTGCAGAAACAGTGATAAAACTCTTTTATTTTAGGATCACCAATCATGCATTATCTATTTGTCATTTCTCAACATTTATATTTCATTTTGTTTTGAATTCTTGATTTTATGAAGCCAGATAAAATTCATACAAGATTTATGAAATTTAAGATGCACACCTGGAAAGGTGTTAATGAATCTTCTTTCTACAAAAATGACATTTCTAAGCTGAACATGCAGTGGTCATCAATAACATTTTATTCATCATTTTGGCAGGAAAATTAATCAAAAAAAGGAACAAAAAATTGCTAATAACTGATTACAGTTATCCCCAAGAACTCTATAATTTGAGAAATTAATAAAATATCTAAACATTAATTACATGACATTATAGATTCTAGGTCAGATTTAACTGAAACTATATAAGATTTTTTTTAACCAAGATTTATTAAGAAATGTGAAGGAAATCAAGACCATAGAAAATCTGATTTATTTTTTCTTTCCAAATTTATTCTAATGAATTGAATTAATCAAGAATGTTTCTGATTAATGGAACATTTATTGTGTCTGACCATCCCATGTCATATGACAGATATTTAATTTTTTTTCCCTAATTAAAAGACATCTTTTTTTAAACTCTTCATATTTAATTGAATATTTTCATAAGAGTGTTATAAGAACAGAGTCTTGCCTCCAATGTGTGCATAGGAGAACATTTGTGCTTTTTGTAAATTTATATGTGCTTCTTGCTAGTGTAAAATAGTTGTAGTGTAAACAATTTCACTAAACCCCATAGTGGGGCACTTTATTTCATTTAGCTGTAAATCTAAGCAATCTGGAATTTATGCACATTTATTAAATTTAATTAAATACACTTATTATTAATTGCATTATTATTTTTGAATTACCTTCAATTAATTAGTGTGATTTGTTTGTTAAAATTACCCCGTACAAATGCTCATTCTTAATGATTATTCAATTTATTATATATTATTATTATTTAGTTGTTTATTATTTATATATATATATTATTCAATTAGGTATTTCTCATATTTACCACTGTTTGACTTTACAATCAATATAAAACCATGTTCTGTTGAATTAAACAAAACAACTAGTACAGCTCATTGTTATAATCTGCATACAGTATTGTTGTTATTATGTTCCTTTATTTGTACAGGTATGCATAACAATTTATATTAATACCATTACAGCACCGTGAGTATGCATTGTAATTTTGTTTTCTCCAAAGGTTTTATCAAAGTGTGCTTAACTATTTTGTTTGATATTAAATTTCAAATGTTCCATCTGAATTTGAATAGTTACAGTTCATCTACTCAAACTGTTCCCTTTAATATGTTTAGGTCGAATATAGAACTGTAGATTTTTTTTAAGATTATGAAGTTTCTAGCAAAAGTGGAGTATTAAGGGTGAGAGCATTGTCTTGAAAAATAAGGCCAAGCTTGTGCAATTTGAATTTTCTATTTGTTTTATCTCTGTGCAATTCCTGATCGTCAGCGATGGTAGAAGACAAAGCAGCATTTCGTGTGGTGTACAATTTCAAACTTTTCCGCGGGATTACAAAACATTGCATAGTATTTTGTGCTGCAGATTATGCTATGTTACCCCAAAAACTTTTTCTTTATAGTAGTATGCTTATTTATTACACAAAATGTATGTCCACTATAAGGCCAACCATAAAAATTGTTGTGTTTCCCAAGCAGAACAGACCTAAAATATAAAAATTTTGTGTTGATTTTGTTTGTTTGAAAAACTATAGGCTTTATTTTTTTCCCCCCAAGAAGATACCTGAATCAAGCCTTAAATAATTTTATACCATAATCAGGGGCGGTGCCAGCGGG